AGATAGGACATTGAACTAATTTAAGTTAAGCAATATTATGACAACATTCCATAAAAGTAGAAAACTTGAAATAACTAGGAAACTTCTTGAGTGGAATTTGACTAATATGTATGTTGATGGTCTCTCTCTCTCTCTCTCTCTCTCCTTTTTCTTTTTAAGAGCAAGAGGTTGGCTTGGCGCCTATGGCTCAAGTGGCTAAGGTGCCAGCCACGTTCACCTAAGTTGGTGGGTTCAAATCCAGCCTGGGCCCGCCAAAACAACAATGATGGCTGCAACCAAAAAATAGCTGGGCTTTGTGGTGGGCACCTGTGGTCCCAGCTACTTGGGAGGCTGAGGCAGGAGACTTGCTTGAGCCCGGGAGTTGGAGGTTGCTGTGAGCTGTGATGCCATAGCACTCTACCCAGGGGGATAGCTTAAGGCTCTGTCTCAGAAAAAAAAGAAAAAGAGCAAGAGGTCTCTTGCTACATTACCCAGGCTGGTCTCAAACTGCCAACCTCAAGCAGTTTCAACTTCTGGAGTAGCTTGAGATTATAGGAGCACACCACTGCACCTGGGTACGATCTTCTCTTTAGATTAATCCAGTGGTTTTCAAACTTGCCTGTGCATTAGGACCACTTGAGAAAAATCCCAAAGCCCAGGCCATATCCCAAGACTGATTAAATGACAATCTCTGATGATGGGTTGTAGGCATTAGTTTTGAAACTCCCTAGGTGATTCCATGCAAAGACAAGCTTAGAAACTATTGGATCAACCACAGGAAAATCAAGGACAGTATAGACCTGGATCTAGCTTCTTCCCCAAAAGTCTATCTCAGTGGTTTCCAAATTTTAGCTCACATCAGAATGACCTAGAAGACTTACAGGACTACTAGGTCCCACCACCTAAGTTTCTGATTCAGTAGGTCTCAGGTAGGACTTAAGAATTTGCATTTCTAACATGTTCCCAAATGAGGCTGATGCAGATGCAATCCAGGGGCCATACTTTGAAAACCACTGGTCTAGCTGAGTTCTAGCACCTCTTTCTTCTGCTAACCATGCTGAATGAATAGTCCTCATCGCTAATTTTTTTAAAAAGGGAATAGAATGAACTGTTCTTTACTCCAGAACTATTAACCCCATTCTCTTTTCTATTGATTTGCCTGAAGTACAGACTTTTTTTTTTTTTTTTTAAGAAATAGTCTTGCTG